GCCGGCAGGATTAAGGCCAGCGAGGCGATGCGTTATATAACGAAGATGAACGAGGCGAGGAACGGACCGACACGTATATGGAACACGACGGAGCGTGTTCGTCGGGAATAATTGTCGCGGGACGTCCGTGAAAAAATGCCGTGCAACGGCAACAAGCGTAGAAAACTGTCCGAGTTACGTGAGGGACGTGTGAAATTATCGTGGGTACGGCCGCGGCCGGCCGGACGACGATTTTCGTGCAGGTCCTTCCTGGAATGCATCGAGTACACGGCGAAACCCGGAGGAGATTCTTTTTAATCGGTCGCTCGTTCATCTTGATGGGAATTAAATTGGCATGGACAACACCTCCGCGAATTTCTGTTTGTACTCGGACGAACTGGAGCTGCAAGAAACGTACAGCCTCGCGGTTTTTACCCTCGCTCCGCCTTGTGGAATGTCCTGCAATTCGTTTGGTGTCGCTATTAATGTTTAACGGAGAACGTTTTTGGCCCGCATCTCGCGGAAAGTGGAGTACACTGCACGGGGAACACTGCAATGTTTCTCTACCTAGTTTTTTTTTCAACTCGTGCCACTTCGTACGGTCGGTTCAGAAGCCGATCAACATGATCATCTTTTATCAGAGAATCTGTCGATCGATAAATTCGTATACCGTAAAAACTCCATTTATTTGTACTCGCCAGGAGACATCTAATTCTTACAACCGGATAGATTCATACAATGGGAGTGCGACGATTATCCCCACTGTTTGCAACTTTGCGTTCAAATAACTGCAGTTCTCGGGTACACAAGCGGATTCGATCGTGCGACCGTTCACAAAACCGGGCATTGACGAAAATTCCGTTCGCGTAAATTGAGATCGGATAAATGGAAATTGTGGTTCTACCGCAATCGATTTCTTCATAAATAAACAATAGATAGCGGCACATATATCGAGCGATTAAACGAAATTGTTCAGAGGGAATCACTTTTTACTCAGAAAACCACTGATACTTTTCTTTCGTTTCTCTTCCGATCAAGTTCATTCGCATGTCGGCTTATAATACAAACTGTGCGTCGCATTATTAGCCGGATTGTTATATTTTTAAAGCTGATTTGCGCAAAATCCTTGTTTATCCGAATTTTAAAGTTGATAGACGCACGATGATTGGCTTCCGTGCCATACGTAGACGTCAAGCCTGTGACACTTTTGCAAATCTCCAATCAATCAATTGTTTTATTACACGCTGCACAAGAGACTGCAGAGTTCCTGTTTACAACCGTGCAATTTGCGCAGCTCCTAGAAGGAACAAAGGCCGATAAAAGCGACGAGCCCCGGAGGAGGACCGAGAGACTCGCAGCGAAGTGCGCGATAAAAGCCGATCGCTTTCGAGCATCAATCATGCAATTAACAAAATCGTAACTGTGCCGAATAGTCCGGTCGTCCGTATTCCACTTAGGCCGCGGTCTGGATTTAACACCGAAGGGAAAGTGGTGAAACCGAACGTGAGCCGATTCGATCGACTTTCCGGGGTACCATTCGGACCCCATTAAAATACAGGAAACGTAAAGGAGAGTCGTTCACGTTAATTTCCTACCGGCCATAACACACCGGGCACCCGTATTCCGGCGATTCCATTAAAAAACGTAAATAAGGAGCGCGACGTACACGGATAGAATGTTAACGACGCTTAACGCAGCTTTATCGCGACGTTTGGCGCTCGTTCCAGCACGGCTAGCCCGATCAAGAAAATTACTGGCGCTCCGTGAGAATTCTTCATCAACGATGGCCATGATAATATTGTAAACAAAAAGCTTCGGGATCGGACTACCGATCCATTCCCGCAGCTAAGCGTTACGTTCCTTCGGCGAAACGCGGACCCGTAACCCCGCGAACGCGGATACCGGTCGCGTACGAATGACCGCGTCCTTGGAATCATTAAGTGGACTCAATGCGGTTAATTGGATGACTGTCGCGATCTAGGGAAGATACGGGTTCCCGCGAACCACTGCGAAATGCGACACTTTTCCCACTTCGTCGCGTCGTTTGGCCGGACGGCGATTCTATGCGAGACAAAAATCATGCTCGTCGAGGAAAGTTTGCTGTGGCAACTTTTATAAGGTCATTTTTAAACTGCGAATCTCTTGTGTCGATGATAAAAATGAATGGGCGAAATACAGAACTGTGAGGACATTAGAAGAATTTAAGGATATTTTCACGTTATTTTCTACTTATTAGAACCATGGAAAAAAGACATTGTCACCTAAGCTACGCTGCTTCCTTAGAATTAACTTGGACGAATTTTATATTGCATAAAAGTCGGCAATCTAATCGCTACGAAATCTGTTTTTTGTTACACGAATTCTATGTAGTCTTTTAGAGGAGCAGTTTCATGATAGAATCTATTCTTCTGGTATAATATATTTGATATATTGCACAATATATTTGAAAATAAAGCAATTTCGACAGAGAATTATTTTTATATTAAGGAAAATGCAAATTTTTAAACGAAATAAAAATTGTCTCAATTGAATAGATTAGAATCGTAGTGGCGTGAATCACGTTTTGCTAATTGTAAGAAACAAGGAATGTCATTGTTTGCTAACATGTGTATTAATTTAATTTATAGTAGCCACATTTTAAACGTAAGTCAAAATTTTCAAAAATGTGAATTGTAAGAAACGGAAGCCACGTAATAGAATAAGACAAATATAATATATATTACGTTTGTCTTATTCAATTATTCTATTCTATAGACAGCCCTGAATTTTTTCGATCCTTTTACGCTTTTAAATTGCACCCAGCCATTTTTATCATAAACGCATAAAGCCCGCGGTCTAAGAGTAATCGCATTAACTGTATTCTCGAAGGCGACAGTCACTGCGAACTGTATTGTACTAATTACCTCGTTTTCAAAGAACGTTTAACTAGAATCACTGTCTGTGTCGATTCAACTATTCTCGGTCCACTTCGGAACAATTTCGAGGCCAGTAGAATTACACAAGAGAAATGAGGAGACAATGGTAATGTCCGGACTTTTTCAGTCGTGTTTCCTTATGATTGTTGCTGCTATTATCAAGCATTCCATATTCAAGGTACATGAGACGCAACGCATCCCGCGGCTTCATTCAATGCAGGATTTTGCTTTCCAAGCGCTGCCGCGATACCGAGATTGTACAACAGTATCAAAGGATCATTGTGTTAAGCAGATAACACATTCGGATAAGCGTAACGGGGGAAAAGGGTTCGGATTAGTTTGCAGTCCGTTTCAGACGGCTGTTGCGATCGCAGAAATGAAGGATTTCGACAGTGAAAGGATGTAGGAAGCTCCTAGTTTCCTGTCGACTTCATGAGAAATCGCGCATGGATGAATCGATATTTAGTGGAATGAACAGGTTTCTGAAACGAGTCTTCGTCGATCTTGACATTTACTCTAACGCTGCGGCCCTTGAAAGATTTGAAGCTCGATCGTTCAAGGTAACGATGAAGACGAAATACAATTTCATAATTATAACAATATTTTCGGTAAATTTAATATCGTACCGCTTAGTCAAAGAAGAATTGTCAACGAGCTTCGTCCGCTGCATAGAATTATACATCGTTGAGTAAACAACCCTGGTGTTACCAAATTAATTAATTTTAACAATCGTGATCTTTTACATATTGTTTTCATTTTTATCGTTATTCTAGTATTATCATTATTATATTGAATTTTTATGCAAAAGTCAGTTAATCTGGTCCGTTTACGTTAAATAAATTGGTCTAAATTTGGTGGGGAAAAAATGAATTGAATCGAGAACGATTCAACATCTTAGCATTAATCTGTATTAAGAATCCCGGTTAGCACAGTTTACTATCTTTAGGAAATCTCTGACCGTAGCACACAATAATTTCGCTAATCTGCTGAGATCTGCAGCAGCTCGCACAGAAATATGTGCCGAGTCTCTCGGTGACTCATCCGTTCGTTCCACGACGGGGAATTATAAGACGTAAGATCTAAATGAACTTAAAAGGACTTGAGACTGAAGATGGAAACTAAAAGCGTTTGGACCTGGTCTTATTGATCGGATATCTACCGTACGTAAACTCGACAGTATGCATCGATAGTAAAACTGGCCACAACAATGCAGTCTTTAGAAACGGATAGTTTCCATCACGGTACCCTTAGAGCTCGGTCTTTTTAGCTCTCACCGGTATCATCCTCTATGTGCAACTCACGATACAGAACACAATGCACCCATTATTGGCCGTTATTGATCAGCGAACTGAACGAGTCATCACTTACCATTATTTCAATCCAGGAATTAACATTCTAGTACTCTGCCAAACGTTCTATTACAGAATAAGCCACGGTTAAAGTAACCATTGCGAAGCGATTTTCTGGGAGTATAAGATTATCATCGATTTTATTACAACCGAAAAGTGTTATTGTTCTGCCTTTAGATAACGTAACGAACATTGAAATATTTATTCGATACGAATGAAAAATAATGCGAGTAAAAAGTCGAGCATTTACCTATCATGGAACACCGTTTTCCCGTACCATGTTCCCTGTATTCCATATTAAATGTCCCTCTTTTGAAACAGGCATTTGAAATGCTTTGAAGTACACAATATGGAACAGTATATTCTTTCCTAGAAACAGCCGTATTCGAATAAACATTCTTTTTACAGCCGATTGTTAAATAACAGTCTACGCGTGAGCGAATTTACAAAGTATAATGTTCAAACATATGGATAGAATTTTTATACAAATTTTCATTTCGAACTGTATGGTTACTATTTCAAGAACGGGTCACAATTGAGCGGCGTTTCATAATAGGTACTTCTAACTTACCAGTAACGAGTTAAAACAGCGCCCAAATTGTCTTTATATTCTCCGTAATGACCCGCAGTCTAACGACAAGCTACACGTTCTAAGAACGTCTTCCAAGAAGTTCCTACAGCGATTTTACGCGTTCGGCGGAATTGCACCCCGGAGGCGCGGTTTAATCTAGAAAATGAGTGACCAAAGGCTCCTTACCAAGGTGGATAGAGTCCGCGCGGTGACGCACCGCCGGCTCTGATCTGCTCGTTGACGTAACCGCTCCTGGGCACGTTCAGGGCGCTGCGTATGCCCACGCTGGACCCGTCCAAGGTGCCCGGGCCCGGTTTGGGCACATGGCTGCTGCAGTAGACCTCCTTGTCGTTGATCGTGTGCTGGTTGTTGTAGTAGGTCTTCAGGGTCAGCTTCGTGCCGCAGATCGCGCACTTGAAGCATCCCGCGTGGAAGAACGTGAAGTCCTTCAGTGGGCCGACCCTGTCCACCTGGTAGACGGTCTGGGCGCACCTCAGACACGTGCTCTCGTAGAAGTTCGGCCGATACATGATTCACGGGCGACCAGGATCCTCGTGGTAGCTGTCTTCGGTCTCTCTATCTTTCTCTCTCTCTCGCTCTCGTTCTGGCTGGCTGGTTCTCTGTCGTCAGTCCGTGCTGCAGCTCGCTCTGGTAGCCACCAGCTGCGACCTTGGCAGGCAAACAGCAACGAGTCAGGGTACAGTCGCGGATACGTCGGGTGAAATTGCTCGCCTCTCCGCGAGGGAAAAAGGCGAGTGGTTCAGAGAGAGAAAGAGAAAGAGAAAGAGAAAGAGAAAGAGAAAGAGAGAGAGAAAGAGAGAGAGGGAAAGGGAGTGAGAGAAAGAGAGATCGGTAATCACTGGAGGGAACGCGCCGCAGACCCACCGGATCGGGCTCGTAAATTTTTAGCGCGTCCAGACCGCTCGCAGCCGCGATTGAGATAGAATGCGGGTTGCGGCGGGTATGGCCTGGCGTTAAGGATGCGTGTGTGTGCGGCCAAGTGCGCCGGGAATGCGTTAGAAAGTGACCCGACCACGGGGGCGGCGGGTATTGCGGTGGCAATGAGGATGGCCGATCGCGAGACTGATTGATGCGCCGATCGCAAGATCGATCCTCGTCCCCACAGTTTCCACGGACGCAACAAAACCGACGCGATTCCGCCGTGTGCACGCTTTATTATGATAGCAAAGAGACCCATGCTGGAAACTAGGCCCTGAGGAATGACAGAGGAGATCTTTTTTCCTCGTATCCATTATTTGCGACTGCGTCGTTTAAAAGTACCGATACGCCTAGCACATCTGGATGAATACTAATTACTAGACTACGAGTCTTTATGCCAAATAAAAGTAATTTGATTGTATGATACAGAAGGCAAATAGAAATTTCTTTTTTCTTTCAATGATTTTAGTATGTCGAAAATAATACATAGGTACTCTCGAATTCTCCTTATCTGTTTTTTGTTACAAATTACTCTTACTCATTTTTTCCATAATGGCATGAAATCCGCAGTCTACTATATGTTCTTCAATTGTTTCTTAATAGTCGTTAAAGTTTTCAGACTGTGACGAATTGGGTTCTGGTGTTTGTATTCAATTCATTCCACGAATTCAAACCACAAATTGTTTTTAACCTGATGGTTATCAAGTGTTGCTCAGACTTTTTCAGAAGTTAGCCATAGACAAAGATACGAAACGTTTGTATTAAACGTCTTAGCAACATTATAAACGTTGGTTATGCTAATAACAATGCTTCTGTGCATAGTAAGCTGATAAAAAAGACGCTGTATTTATAAGATATTTTGATAGTGACTGTGTGTAAGTGTTCAAACAATTCCGGACAGTACTGGACGCGCTACTTTATTCCTCCAGTTATGCGAATGTGCGTGTGAATTTAATTACAAGTTTATTGTGTCGAATTGAGAATTTAACATACAGTCGCTACGTTCGTCTCGTATTAGTATACAGTAAAAAAAAGCGAGGAGTACGGAGCCGATACTGAAATCGACGATTCCAGATGCCCTATTTAAAAGATAGATAGGTAACGAGTAACGATATTATCCGAGAAAATTCTGAATTACATTTTGCAACAATCACCGGTGACCTAGCTGCAGCCTCCGTCCCAAAAGCATTAAAAGCTCGACGTAACGAACCGCTCTTGATTGCAAGATTAACTTAATACGAACATTAAAGTACGATCCTCCAAACAAGCTCTTTTCAGCGACTGCACCGCGGTCGCCGAAAGGGCGAAAAAAAATTCGAGAGAGATAGGAAGCGACAGACAGAGAGAAAGAGCAAGAGAGAGAGAGAGAGAGAGGAAGAGAGAGAAGAAATTAAATCTAGCCTTTGCATCGGAATCAAGTCACCGAGTAATCCTCTTGAGGAGTTTTCGTCGCAAGCTCGATTAGACTCTGCGGAGCGGAGCTAGTTCGACTTTGATGTCTCTCTTCCGCGATAAAACGGGAATCCGTGGAAAAAAAAGCGTTTCACAAGTTCAACGATACAGCCGGTTGAAACGTGTGCTTTAATTGGCCGGGGTAATTACCGCAATGCAAAACGCGTGCCCGCGCGCGAATCAGACCGAGTCCGTTTCCTAACTCTCAATAATTACCCTCGCAGGATGTCTGGGAAAGAGGGAAAGAGGAAAAAGAAACGCGCTCGCTCGCTTGCGCGCGCTCGCGGGCACACGCGCGGACCCGCTAAACGATACCATCTCCGCGTGCGCGCGTGCGATCCGGCCGATAACAAAATGCATTGGCGTTATTAAAAACGACCTGGCCGCCAACACTTTCCTGCCGACCGGCTGTTGCAACGGATCCCGTTGCCAATACTTTTCACAGTGGGCGAATGGTAATTGCAACAGATTTCGCGGGGCCCGGCCGACGCCTGTAACACGGCCGTCGCGGATTTTCCCCGCGTGTGCGGATCAACCGTGCGTCCTCGTTAACACCTCTATCACGCTGCTGTCTATTTCCCTCTTTTGCTGCCGATCCTTTATTAACTCTGCCTCCGACGCGTGGGGGATATCCATCATTCTCCTATTGGCTGCTACAACTGTGAAATGATCTATACTCGTTTACCTCTTTGTTAGCATGCCAAGGTCCATGCAGGTTTTTAATTCTTTGTTCGGAACGTCGTTTTGACGGGCTTTGACGGACGTGTCGCACGTACGTCGATGGCGAAATACAGTAAATTCTTCCTAATTGACGTTCAGATTGTAAACAAAAATTGACAATTTGGGAAGAGGAGATACGATTATTCGAGCCTTGCGGCTCGTTTTTATGATTGTTGACAATTGGTAACTATAAAAACGAGCCGCAAGGCTCGAATAATCGTACCTCCTCTTTCCAAATTGATGCACATTTTTGTGCATAATCTGAGTGTCAATTAGGGAAAATTTACTGTGATTTGCTCGCATGTGAAAATTAACTTTTACGCTAGTCTATTATATCTTCCATTACGATCCATAGAAAGTAAGAACGATCGGCTTGAATTTGATTCAGAAAAATACTTCGATTTTACGAAATTGTCGAAGCTGTTGACGCATGGTGGTCAAAGCGTTAAGTGACTTCAGACTTTGGTAGATCACGTATCTTTGTGCAGGATCAGAATGTTTTGTACGGTTTGCAAGAAACGGGAGCCGCACAGATCTCTTAACGATTCGAATAAGGTAACCGTGACAAAACCGAATTTTTCAAGTTCTTCCGACGCTTTTANGCGGCTCGTTTTTATGATTGTTGACAATTGGTAACTATAAAAACGAGCCGCAAGGCTCGAATAATCGTACCTCCTCTTTCCAAATTGATGCACATTTTTGTGCATAATCTGAGTGTCAATTAGGGAAAATTTACTGTGATTTGCTCGCATGTGAAAATTAACTTTTACGCTAGTCTATTATATCTTCCATTACGATCCATAGAAAGTAAGAACGATCGGCTTGAATTTGATTCAGAAAAATACTTCGATTTTACGAAATTGTCGAAGCTGTTGACGCATGGTGGTCAAAGCGTTAAGTGACTTCAGACTTTGGTAGATCACGTATCTTTGTGCAGGATCAGAATGTTTTGTACGGTTTGCAAGAAACGGGAGCCGCACAGATCTCTTAACGATTCGAATAAGGTAACCGTGACAAAACCGAATTTTTCAAGTTCTTCCGACGCTTTTACCGCTTCACGTTCGACTCGCTCATTCACGTTGTAAATGCACAGAGCCCACGGTCCACGAACCGTAATAAGAGGATAGACGAAGACGGCAGAGTTAAAACCATTCATAGCAGCCCTCCGGTCGCGATTGTTCGGCGAGCCTCTCGCGAAAAATTGCATAAGAGCCAGCAAACGGGGGCGAAAAAATCGTATCATCGTTCGTTGTTCGAGAAGTCAAGCGTCACGCGAAAACTTTCTAAATGATCCATGACTCATTTTTTTTCAGAAATTATTACTTCGGTTTCACCGTTACAAGACCGATAGAGGTTTCCCTTTTCTTTCCGCGACGACGACGCCACACAGCTACGAATTCTTCTCCCCGCGACCAACGATACCCACAATACCGGCTTACGTCATACCGTTAGCGACCATGCACAACAATACCATAATAAACACGGGATTGTCCCTCTCACGCATCAACGAATCGCGTTCCTTTTTTTCGCCGTCTCTCTCTCTCTCTTCTCTTTCTCTCTCTCTTCTCTTTCTCTCTCTCTCTCCCTCTATCTCTCGCTCGCTCTCTCTTTCTCTTTCGTTTTCGCTGTTTCAGTGTCTGTCCCTGTCGTCGGACACGCACTGATTCCTTTTTTTCTCTCTTTACCGCTGGTGCAATGGGTTCCGAAGCGACGATTTCCATCGGCGAGCCGCGGACAAACTCCGCGCGGTGAAAGAAACGCGCGCGGAAAGTTCTTCTTCCGGAGAACGAGCACGCGCCGCGATATCGGGAGAAAGCATTTCATTTGCAACGCGATCGTTCTGTCGATGACCGAACACCTTGCGCCAGTGGCGCGATACAGATATCTCACAAAGCTTGTCAAAAAGAACGGGGAAGTTGCAGATTTTGTTTCTGGTGATACTGCTTTAGCCGATTCTTCGTGCGATAATTATTTGGAAATAATATCTACGGCAATGTTTCTTCGAAAATTCATCCATTCTCTTTATTTGTGTTGCAAGCTGTATTTACTTCAATCGTAAGATTGCGTGTAGAACACACTTTGTTAATTCAACGTATAAAGCGAAAAAGGGGGGAAGAGTTATCGTAGGATCTTTTGTGCAATTATTGCCGAAGAGCATTGTGGGAGGCGATCAATTCATTCAGAATCAACTCTTGCAGCATGATGTTAAATTAAATGGCTGCAAATAAGTACATAAATGCTGCGATAGATTTTAATTTGCGTGGACAAACTTCAGAGATACTTCGCGAATAGCGTGTCTAACTCGTGTAGGTATGACAGATGTAGGATCGATGTAAATACAGATGTAGATACAAAATGGGCTTCGTTTAGCTTCTTTTTGCAATGAGCAATCTTTTCAGTACATTTAGGAAACCGTTCTTCGACGCTAAACCTGCCAGAGCGATCAAATGCCGCTCTTTGAACTTTCAGCGAAATTGTCTAATTCAATGTCCTCAATTATCCTCAAGTTACTGCACGATTTTTAAAAATCCGCAGTCTAATCGTGACTAAAATATGATAAAATATTGTCCAGTGTTACATTTCCCTGTCACAAGAATCCCTATTAAATGAACTGAATTTTCATTCAATTTTCACAGGCCACAGCAACCTGAATTCACATCGAGATCTACAACTCGAGACTCTCGAACGGATGAAACAGTACTCCGTCCCCTAGAAATCGTGCATGATCCGGCACTAGGAAGAGCCTCGGAAAAATCCGCAACCAGATGCGGTGTAAAAAGTTGAACCCGTGCGAGTGACTTTCAAATTTAAGCAAAACTGGCATGGCGACGTCGCCGGTTCTCCAGGAGGGACATCAAGGGGGACGCGGCTCACCCGGAAGTTGTAGCCGGTGAACAGCAGCCTTTATACGGGCTACAGTGTTCATTCACGTGGTATTCGCGGGGCTAACGAAGAAACGGGCTCGATCGATTCTTGTCCCACGCTCGACGCGCCGGCGGTCGTGAGCCTCTGTCGTAAATCGCGTCGGTGTCCCCCGACACGGGGACAGCAACCGAAATTTTTCTGCAGCTTTCGTTGCGGCGGCCTCTCTCTCTCTCTCTCTCTCTCTCTCTCTCTCTCTCACGGTAATTACGCCGGGGATTTCGTCGCTTGTAAATAAACCAGCGAGCCGGTCGTTGCATTTTAATCGCGCGGCGCGTTACGCAACGCGCGAAAGAGGAAATCGTAATGGTCCCCGTAAAACGCGACACTTCCAATTACGGTTGTCCGTCGATTTTCATTCATCGTGCGGCGCGCGTGGCCATCACGGCCGTTGCTCGCGATCCTCGGTTTCAACGAGCCACGGTAACTGGATATTTTGCGCGTTTCCCCACCAGCGAACTATCATTCGAAGCTCGGTCGTGGCCACGGAAGTGCCACGAAACTGTGGAAGATAGTCCCAGATTATCCCGTCCCTTCGAACTCAGTCGACTGTTCTTTCTTCGTCGCTCGGTGGCCAATGCGTGTCCATTCGACGAAATACGATTGACCATAATTGACCATACGACGAAATACAGGCGGTTTAACGATGAACTTTACCCACCTCTAAAAACGGCTAACGCGTGCAGCTTTATGAGAATGCCGAGACTATACTTATCGTAATATCACGAGAATATTCTTATCGTGATATGTGCACGAACGACGAATTATATTCAACAACTTCCTAGGAAAGTGTCTCTATAAATTTCAACAATTTTGAAAGAAAAACTGTGAAACCGTTTATTTCGACCGGCTCGGTTAAATTTATTTCGACCGGCTTCATTTATCGTCGCATTGTTGTCAATATTGACTGCGGATCTTTATGCGAAATAAAAATCTTGTGAATCGATTGCAAGGAACGGTGAATGAATGATAGTTTATTTCTCTTCTTGGCGATATCAAAAATCGAGGAGAATGTAGGAGCGTTCTTTGAATTCATCTATAGTCTTCAATTTCATCTAGTCGTTTCTGTCAGAAATGCATGAAAATCCTTAGTCCTACATCGATGAGTTCTCTGTTTATAATATATTTCAGAATTCCATGTTGTTCGTAGTGTCGAGTACATTCTTTGTTAGCTTTTCGTTTTTCACTGGTTAACTTCATCGGCTATGCAGCTTCTGGTTCTTTAATATGCTTTACTAATCGAGTTTAGACGTTCCTTGCGTCGATTTCATATCAGCTATTTATAGACAATTGAGTCTTTTTCTTCTTGCGTACAACTGGTCTCCATGCACACCGGTTACGAATTCCGTGCAACTTTGCGGTTCGATACGCGAACCAATCAATGTCCCAATTCACCGGCAACTTAGTAAATCGTTTTCCAAAGTCGCCGCGTGAAATTTCGCGTCGCTTCTACCAATGCTTGCTAACGTGTAAATAAACACGATACTTTCTAGATTATTACGAGGCCGTTCCGAATGTTCAGGACCGACAGCAGGACCAACCATACGAATCGCGCTGATCGGCCGATAAGTTCGGAACTAGACAACCCGTCGAAGACGGACAATGGTGCGTCGTCGAAAATCGGCGGCGTCACGCACGTGAAAATTATTTATCGCATTCCTCCGGCCGTTTATCACTGGATAATGCCCGCTCGAATACCGGTGTCCTCATTCTGGCCCACCTTCTCCTAGGTATTTACGCCGGCCGGGCTCGCGCTCGCGCGCGCCCTCGGTCCGCTCACGAAGAGAGACAGCCGCACAAAGACACGCGCAACTACGTAACTCCTTGTACCGCGTCAAAGAAACGAGAAACTTTATTGAGGTGAATCGGAGAGTACGTGGACGCAACGAGGCTGGAGTTCTCGGGCTGCCGCGGCGTTCCCCCCCTCCCCCCGTAACCGCGCAACAGGTTAACGGCATCATTGTTCGCGGGCAGAACAAGGCGTGTTCCCGCGTTTGCGACAGTTTGTCTTGTTACTTAACGCGCGAAAGTACCGGTGAATAGCTGGCATTCCATTGAACGGCCTGGCTCGATCGGGATCGGCTCGGATCGGCTCCGCTCGGACCGGCTCGGATCGGATCGGATCGAATGGAATCGAATCGGATCGGCGCGGGGCGCCCCGAGCTACTCGCGTTTGTACACGTCGTCGCACGGTGTGCCGCGAGATCCAGAGATTTGAATTATTCTCGCCGTGCCGTGCACCGGAGAACCAGTTCCCCGAGGCGCATCAGATTTGTCAAACACGTGTACCGTTCCGAAACACGGAATAAATCTTCCACGGTGGATCCGATGCGGTATCCTTCGACCCGTGCTACACGGCTATCCTCTAAGATAGAGCATCGCCAGATAGAAGACAATCGGAGACGATACGAGACGATACGAGACGATAGGGGAGACAATTGGAGCAGCGAATAAGGTCGAAAAATTCCTCGGTTTCCGATGTTAATACTCACGTCCTCATGCTCGTGCGTCCAGCGTGGTCCACGAGATACCTCGACGCCTCGCTCCGGACATCTCTCCTCGGACGTTCGCGGATGTTCTCGTCCCAGTCAGGATTTCCTCGCAGTCCCACGGTCCGACACGATTTACTTTCTACCGGCGGGTCGTGCCCAGGGCTACGGGATACCACGGCACTTGGTAAAATCGCGCACGATGTCACGGACAGGCTGTCTGTCTCTTTCTTTTCCCCCTCGCCCCGTCTCTCTCTCGGGTCCTCTCGATCGCTCGCTCGCTCTTCCGGACACGGCCGCACCGAGCATTGAAATCACCAGAGGCCGAGGATCGCCGCGGGACCAGTACCGCGGCGCGTGAAACGCGCGCACCGTGTGACGCGGACAGGGGAACAGCGCGTTTCTAGGAACAGATCCACCTGCCAGGTATCTGCGACGTGTATCGGCTCCTCGAGCGAGCCTGTTACAGCAGCCAACAGCGAGACTCGCCGATCCCCCAGCGCTGTGTCGTCCGATCGAGCACGAGATCGCGAGCGTTCGACGCGTTTCACACGACACCACGGCCACCGAGCCTCGACCTTCGCGTTCACGGGAGTCTCCTGCAGCACCGATATTTCGTGTGTCCGCCGGCTGTAACTGGGTCTCGGCACCAACCGAGGCGGCCGCGCGAGTGCTCGAACCTGAATATCGCCACCTGCTTCCGTCGACGTTCCGGGAAGGTCTGAGGTGAGAGGGACGGCCATTTTGAGGGACCGTGCTGGCTCTCAGGTGGCGCTATGGTTGGAGAACCCAGGCTTGCCTGGGTATTACTCTTTTACGTCCGCTCACCTGGCCAGTCTCTGTCTTTGTCACCTGTGCCGATGGTAGCGCGGCATTTGCCACCGATTTCATAGAAATTTAGCGGACGAGCCGGGGCTTTTCCTTTTTAGAGACGGTCCGGGATGGTCGCCGACTCGGTCGTCCCGCCGCGCCGCGGGTCCGCCGCGGCTTCTTCAAGATCGGCTTCAGGTCCTGCCGGTTTCTTGGCCCCGATGCCAATGGAACGCGGTCCCGATTCACTACTTTCATTCGAGCGGCTGATCGATACGTGATGGGAAAAAAGAAAGCGGAGCTCGCCGAGATTGGTGGCCACCGTTTTAGGATATCCTCGGCGCGATCACTTTTAAATTTCTGCGTACGCCGCCTCTGCTGCGGCTGCTGGCCGCTGCTGCCCGATCTTCTATCCTTGTAGCTTTAACCGGCCGGCTGTCGCAATCTCCTTGAAAAGGGTGTAAGTTGCTGATAATGATATATAATTATATGATGATATATAATTACAGTATACATATATATTTGATAATATATATATATATATATATATATATATATATATATATATATATAT